CACTCATTCTCTTTCATCTATCCAAGCTCTGTGAATTAACTATACTCTCAAAAACATTACCTTGGACTTATATGTGGAACATTACTGAGTCGTCAGATAAGATAATTAATCAGGAACATAAGTGATTTAAATAACACTAAACATTGATCGGAAAGATTCGTCTATCGAAAAAGGAACCTAATACAATTGGTACGAAAGCCTGCACCTCTAAAAAAGCAACATATACATAGGCTTTGTTTTGTCCAAAAAATAACCACTCTGTCGAAATAAATTAAATATACATAAAAATTTTAAAAAAATCTATCAAGCCTCAAAAAGTAAAAAAAAAAAAAACATGTCATTACACAATCCTACGAAACAAGGAGAGAAATTCATTTCAGTACGCCGGATTCCAGTATCTTAGAAAGGAAGGTCAGGATGAATAAAGGTCTATAATGGAGTAGGAGTGAACACTTGAATTGGCACAATGAAATATATATGGAAATGACGGAAAGTTTTCACACGCAATCAATATATAGAGCGTTTGACATCACCGACTGGAAACTAGTCGGGCATCATGACAGCGGCGTTTCGTTTGATTTACTAGAATGCGATTGGTTTCTGTGCCGTTTAATATGTCAAACGGGGGATATGACTTCTGTTTGGGAAGTATTAGGCATTCGGTTGCCGTTTACTAGATCTGCAGAAAGTAAAACAAGAAACAATCGTCTAGGGAGTTATCGTTGATTGCATAGCTAACGAACAGCTTTATGAATAGAGTCAGCCGCAGTTGAGAAATTCTAAGACCCTCGATCCCACCCCAGCTATCATTAAATATTATAAAACTGGCAAAGTGCGACCTGACTCGCCCATGAAGGGTTCCACACCATTATATACAAAAACGGCAAAAAAATCATGTCTGTTGTATGCGAGCCCGTAAATATTAGATTTGCTTCTCGTTGGATGATCCAGACGCCGTTGCTGACTCTGTCACCGATGTGGTGCTTCAGGGTATGGAAATGCTTATTCCATTTTCTGCAATACCCATCGGTGGCAAATCCCAGCCTTGGTTTGATCGTTCCTGCAAGACGGCATTACGCCGAAAGTGGGAATGCTACCGAGCCTGGGCTGAAGCTTCGGCGTCTAGTGATGTAAAGACCAGCACATTAAAAAAGGAGTATAACTCTGCTTCTAGGTCCTTCAAAAGCGTTATTGCTAAAGCGAAGTTGGAGCACATTAGCAGAATTGGCGAGAGATTGGCGCGTCTCCCATCGGGAACACGTGCGTTTTGGTCTCTCGCCAAAGCTGTCTTAGGGAATTTCTGTAAGCCATCTTTTCCACCCCTGCACACGGAGGATGATTCGTTGGCCCATGCCGCGAAGGAGAAAGCCGATCTTCTGGGCTCTCTCTTTGCGTCCAACTCGACTTTTGGATGACCGAGGAAACTCACCACCATCAATCCCTCAGTGCGACGTTACGATGCCGGAGGTAAAATTCCGGCAAAGTGCAGTTCGCAAAGCACTTCTTTCCTTGGACATTCACAAGTCGAGTGGGCCTGATGGCATCCCTCCGATCGTGTTACAGACATGTGCTCCAGAGTTGGCGCCGGTTTTAACGCGTCTCTTCCAGCACTCCTATACTTTAGGCGTAGTCCCGAAATCATGGAAGGCCGCGTTAGTGCATCAGATCCCTAAAAAAGGCAACCGCTCTGATCCGTCCAATTACAGGCCAATAGCCATCACCTCCTTGTTCTCCAAGATAATGGAGTCTGTTATCAACGGCCAGCTCCTGCGGTACCTAGAGGAGCACCGGCTGATTAGCGACCGCCAGTATGGATTTCGTCGGGGTCGCTCAGCCGGTGATCTTCTGGTCTACCTTACACATCGATGGGCAGAAGCAGTTGAGAGCAAGGGGGAGGCGCTTGCAGCCAGTCTGGACATAGCGAAGGCCTTTGATCGGGTATGGCACAAAGCGCTTCTTTCGAAGCTGCCTTCCTATGGGCTTCCCGAGAAATTATGCAATTGGATCACCAACTTTTTGGCAGATCGGAGCATCAAGGTCGTCGTCGACGGTGCATGCTCCGATCCTAAATTTGTCAATGCTGGTGTTCCACAAGGCTGCGTACTGTCTCCTACTCTGTTTCTTCTGCATATCAATGACATGTTGCAAATCAGCAACGTCCATTGTTATTATGCAGACGATAGCACTGTGAATGTCTCGTACACTGGCCGAGCTAATATTTCTCGGGAAAACGTCTACGAGTGTCGGAACAAGCTTGTGTCTGAGGTCGAGACTTATTTAACCAAAGTCTCAGACTGGGGTCGACTAAACCTAGTCCAATTCAACCCCAAAAAGACACAAGTTTGCGCGTTAACCGCTAAAAAGTCCCCATTTGTCGTGACTCCTCATTTCGAGAACACTCCCCTACCTGCCACAGCTAGTATCGGAATGCTTGGCGTCGAAATCTCGAGCAACGTCCAGTTCCGCGGTCAATTGTAAGGTAAGGCCAAATTGGCCTCAAAGAAGCTTGGCGTGCTCAGCAAGGCGAGACGGTACTTCACGGCTGCCCAACGCCTAAACCTGTATAAGGCGCAAATTTGGCCCCACATGGAGTACTGTTCTCACCTCTGGGCGGGAGCCCCCTATTACCAGCTTCTTCCATTTGACCGCATTCAACGTAGGGCGGCTAGGGTTATCGACGATCAAAGTCTTTCCGATCGGCTTGATCCTCTGGCTCTGCGTAGAGATGTTGGATCACTCTGCATCTTCTACCGCATTTATCACGGGGAGTGTTCTGAGGAATTGTTTGGATTGATCCCGGCGGCTGAATTCCACCATCGGACATCGCGCCAGAACCAAAAATTTCACCCACACCACCTCGATGTCCAACGTTCCACAACAGCGCGATTTTTAAGGCATTTCTTGCCTCGCACAACCACTCTGTGGAACCAACTGCCGCCGGCGGTCTTTCCGAACCGTTACGACCTGGGAACCTTCAAAAAGAGAGCGTACCCTTTCTTAAAAAGCCGGCAACGCATTTGTGAGCCCTCGGGTGTTGCAGGTTTTCATGGGCGGCGGTAATCACTTACCATCAGGTGAGCCTCCTGCTCGTTTGCCCCTTTTCTCCATAAAAAAAAAAAAATATTTTTATTCTGTTTTTGTTGTTATAGCGGTAATTAATGCAACCCTTGCCAATCCTAATCTAAGGTCTGTAAACCGTAATTTTTTTTTATTTGACACTTTTTTGTATAAGCTAAATAGCGACCCGTCCCGGCTTCGCACGGGTGCATTGTAAGACATATAAACCTTCCTCTTGAATAACTCTACGTACTAAAAAAATATTACAAAATGACAAATATTGACTTTAATATTTATACGATACTAACGTCACTGAATTGTATTGTCTTCCCGGAACCCCTCCACTAACACTTAAACTTTATGGTATGGTATTAAAGTTCAAATTTAAGTATTATTAAGAATCTTTTGCATGGGAATATAGAAAAGTGTTGTTTTTAGGGGTTTTCAGGCAAGTTTTTCAATTTTGTCTCCGTAAGAACCATCTTCGTACGTTAAGGAATATGATAAAAAAGAATTAGCGAAATCAGGTAGCTGTTTTCGAGATTTGCGCTTAGCAACAGCGATTCATTTTTATATATAGAGATTAATGCCATATAGCATTTTCTACCAGCCAACCGGAAAGTTACTGAGAAAAAGATTTTTAGATGCATCTTTAATTGTAACTGTATAGGTATACATTTTATATAACATGTGTAAACTATGATAAGAAATATTTAATAGCTATGTATTATATTTCAAGGTAAAATGCAATGAAGCTAGGTTTAGATATGTCAATTTATAACATTTAATTAAATAAAAATTAATACATCGATAGAAATATTGTAATGAATATAAAGTTGTATTCTACGTTGGTTGCTGAATATATCTTGTATTTAAAGACACGTCAACAGCAGAAAATCTTGCAACTCGAGCGTCTGTGAAACAATGTCGGACATTTGCATAAGAAACAGACACTTAACTGAATTTTTGAGCGAAACTTTTAGTCATTTCGCTCAAATACTGTTGCACCTTGTTTGATAAACATTTCTATTTTTTTTTGAGCAGATAATTTTATCATATATTTTATAGAAATGCTGCAAAAGCAGGTAACTTCTAAGGCTGATGTTAGTATGGAATTGGATTTGATTATCGTTCAACATAATAAGTATGCAATATAGTCACTAATAAAAACTCCAACATAAGGGTTCTATAGAAAAAATATCCGATTAGATTGCTTGCCGGTGGTAGCTTACTTACGAACGTATTAATTTTTATGTAAAATGTTGACGTTTCATAAGAACGTGCAAGCGTCTTTATGAATAAATATATTTTTGATTTGATTTGATTAGATTAAAAGCTTGTCCTGTACAGAGGCGGCCTTTTCCCAGCAGCTTTTTTTATTATATTAAAAATATAGTTCAATGATTTAATTGAGCTATAATCTCTTGCTTGACTATTAATTCTGTAGTGTTCAAGACGTCAAGAATTAAAACCAATATTAGTAAAAAAAATCTGTGAATAACTTTTATTTATCTATATGTACACTCCGCGTATACACAGTCTTTTTCAGAGACCTACTCTGTGAAGTAAGGGAAAACAATATCAACAAAAACAGTAAAAATCGTAGTGTAAAAATTATAGAAAAAATTACAGAAATACATTATCTGTGAAAATTCAATAATTAAGAAAATTAATTTCAACTGTCTAACTATCACGGTTTATGATAAATACAGCCTGATGACAGACGGACTGACAGACAGCGAAGTCTTAGTAATACGGTCCCGTTTTAACCCGGGTAGGAAACCCCTAAAATTAAAATCAAAATTAAACTTATAGAAAACCCTCAAATAGTTAATAACACGTTTAGTATAATACACATAAGAACCTTTATTATCTTTACGGAATACAATGTAAAAGAATTGAGCGGGAATGATTTATCATGAACAATAGCACTGTGGTCTTCAAAAACCAGAATACGTGGCTTCCGCAGCAGATTCAATATTTCGGGAAATGGACAAAACTGTCTGGCCCTCCGCCAGGCACTGACGCGACGGCGGGGTAGCCTTGAATTTACGAGAGCTGCGGAATAGTTTCCACTCGGTTTGATACGCCAGACGGGGGCTATAGATGAGCTGTTTTCTGGTTACGGTGAATTAGGTATTCGGTCACTTTTTTTTTTAATAGACATTGCCCTCACTTTAGGATAACATTACCCTGTGTTGCAAGGACGTTTTTACATACATAGATTTCACGCGGACGAACACCCAGATGCGAAACAACTATGTGTGGATCACACAAATAGTAGTCCCGTGTGGGAATCGAACTCACGACCCCCGACACCAAAGCCGATATCTTGACGACTGCACCACGGAGTCAGCCAACACAGCACAGGTCACTTGTTTGCATTGTTAAGGTGTCGTGCGAGAAAAAGTTTTATGGTGTTGTAACGCTCTATTTTTCTACAAGGCGGCGGTTATCATTTAACATCAGGTTAACCGTCAGCTCGCTTGAAACCTCCTCACATAAACAAAAGGATAATTTAGTTTGTAACTATCTATTAACAAATTTGAACAACTCTTATTCGGAAACCCACCATCGTGAAAGCTATGTTATTCTTTGTGGCTGAAATAAAATCAGGAATATAGTAATAAATTTTGCCTGGCTTTGAAAATACCAGGTAAAATAATGAATACATAAAGAAAGAACCCTTATAAATTAGTAATTAAGATAATGATCAGATATGTGCTTTAGTTTTTAATTATAATTATAATTATATTGTTTTTATTGTTCTTCGGTATTAAATCAAAGACAAGCGATAACAATTATTTTTTTCTTAAACTATAATCCTGATTAAGCATTCTTCGCATTCTGGGTTGATTCAAAATCTTCACACAATCCGTGTAGCGTTCCTGGTGCGTTTATTTTGTTTTTGTATTTTCACCGCTTCGAATACAGTCAACTTTCACGTTCAAGTAAGTGAATATAGATCTTTAGCAAAGTATTCGCTATTCAACAACGTTCTGTTGTATGTTATATTTGTATATCCCTCCGTCTGTCCACCTTGGTGGGGTCAGCATGAGAATCATCATGGGTGACAAAACACTATTCCCTTCTGGGATTCGAACTCCTGACGCCAAAGCTAGTAGCTTAGCAACCGTGCTACCGAGTCATCTTTCCTCCTAAACCTTGAGTGTAATAAAATTGACATTTGCCTATAGCTTTTATTATACATATTAAAATAAAACCGTTTAAAAACTTTTAAGTTAAACGGTTTTATTTTATGTTTTTTTTTGTTAAATTTTTTTTGTTAATATTGTATTGTCATCTAAATTAAATGTGTGTACCAAATTTCAGATCAATCTGACAACGGCAAGGTGCTTAAATTTCAATTTCTAATTTTGACCCAAAGAAACAAATTCCGTACGGGTCGAGCTAAATAAAACCGTTTAATAATAAATAGCTATTTTCCAACAAACACTGTCATCTTGTTACGCGGTACACTTTTTATAAATGATGTAAAACATTTTAAATTTTTTTAAATATATGAAGCAAAAATATTGTACCCCTTCTTAAGAAAATTGCGAGGACGGAAGAGTATAAAATTTACCACACTTATAGTTTATATACGAGTCTTGTACATACAAGTCTAATAAAATGACAATGAAATCACAGCATGCATACTACATTTTGTGAATATGTGTCAAAACATTTATACAGTCTGAATATAAATGTATGCGAGTTTTATAATTTCCTGTCTGTGTGGATAATCTCTGGAAGCGCTGTAGCGCGTATCTGAAAACCTTTTTTCACCATTTGAGATTTTATAGTATAGCATGTAATTTTTATACAGATTTGCTATACTTATTATGTATGAATTTATGTAAATAATATAAGAATCGTCACCGCGCGCTGCGTCGATAGTTTGAGTTGCTTGAAATAATATCACGCTTTTATACCTACGATCTGGTCCCCCTGAAGGAGGTTTTATGGCGTCAATGCCGTAATTACGCCAATTCGTTACCTTGACAGCGACTTGCTGATATGGCATTCCTACTGAATTGGCTTCATTAGCTGTTAGCACTCTAAATGCGTGAATTCGCTTGGTTGCCGTATTTTTGTCAAATTGATTGCTCCCCAATGTCCTTTTATACGTCCTTTGGTACAGTTATCCCGTTAGATTTTTGTTAGTTCTCTTCTGAAAACAATATCGAGACAGTAATAAAATAAAAATATGATACAAGTTGATGCAACTGTCCATGGGCGGCGGTCATCGCTTACAATCAGCCAACTCGCTTGCTCGTTTGCTTCCTTTTTTTCATAAAAAGAGGTACTTAATTTCAATTTTAAACATGTGAAAATCATTGATAAATAGATACTTATATTTAGCCTATAAGTAAGTATAAAGATTTCCTCTAAAAGAGATTGATAGACGTCTTTTATCTCTACTCAAATTATACCCATTGATTGGCTAAGCTGTATTGTTTATTGTTAGTATATAAGTGGGTATTTTAATAATGACGTCACCCGGCGACGCCGGATTCGTCAAGTGTATGTTCTATATGTATCGATCGGTTGTTCGTTAATTTTAATACAGCACTCGACTAGTTCACTGCTTTTTTATTCTCTCGTGTTCCGAACTAACAATTGGCGACGAGGTGTTTGTATCTGCGCGTAATATATAATTACAACGACATGGCTGTAACATCAATTGGCGTTCTTTCTGTTTTTAACCACGAAACGCAAGACTGGATATTGTTTCGAGGCCGCTTAGAACAGTGGTTTCTCGCCAACGATATCTGTGAAACCTCAGGCAAGCTTGGCTTTAAACGGAGATCAATCCTACTCAGCAGTTTGGCGGAAGACACTTACAGGCTAATAAGGGATTTAGCACTCCCTAAGGACGTCGGAACTTTATCATACTCGGAGGTCATCGAGTTATTTGACGGGCATTTGAAAACAAAGACATGTAGTTTTGCTGAGAGATATAATTTTCATAGCGCGAGGCAAGAAAGTGGAGAATCCCTGCAACAGTGGGCAGCGCGAGGCACTGTGAGTTCCTACCTGCCGTGCTGGAAGAAGAAGTTCGTGACCGCTTCGTGCTCGGCATGAGCAGTGGACCAGAACGGAGTCGTCTTTTTAGTGAACCTATTCGAGAACTAAATATGTCAAAGGCGTTGCATATAGCGGAGAGCATACACTGTGCAAGCGTCCTGTCAGTGGGAGCGGGAGGAGGTGCATCGCGTGGCGGCAGGCGGACGAGCCGCGAGTGTTAAGGCCCATTTACACGGTGCAAGTTTCTTGCCTGTTATATACAATTAAATTGAAGCAATAAATGAGTTGCATTGTCTAAACAGCACATAACATTCTTGACTGTTGAACAAGACTTGCTTCAAGTTTTGTTTCAAAACTTTCCTTGGTGTAAACAGCACACACAATAATTTCTTAAGCAATTCTTGTATTCAATTGCATTCTCTCTTCCTTTGCAAAAATTAGTGCAATGAGTGACGGTATTTAATCATTGCTGTTCTTTTGAGGATAGAAATATTGAGAAAAGGTCGTAAAAAAAGTTTGGATAAAAATATGAATAATAATATATGGATCATAATAAATAAATCTCAATGAAATATATTTAATCGGCATAATCTAACTTGAACACTTATTATTGAGCCATTTTTTAAAAAAACAGCCATTTGTAAAACGTTCAACACTTGCATGAAAAATTTGTCAACGCAAATACGTGCAATACTTGAAGCAACACGCCAATAAATTGTACACGCACATACAAGCATGTGTTTAGACAAGTCAAAACTTGAAAGCAATAATCGCCTAAACATAATTGCATTGGTGTAAACAAAAGACCTTTGCAATTATTTCCTGTCAAGACTTGCATTCAATAATCGCATTCAATTTTTTTTACTATATCTGCGTGTAAACTGTTGCTTACAATTCTTGATGGTCAATTATTGCGTGCAACTTATTGCATTCAATTATTGCTCTTGTATGTACAAGAAAATGGCATCGTGTAAATGGGCCTTTATGCTATGTTTGTGGGCACTATGGCCATGTCAGTACATGCAACAAATGTGGAAAAAAAGGACATTTAAGGCGTGTGTGTAAAGGTGGCACCTACAGGCAACACTTCCTGGAGTGCGGTTCGGGTGATGAGAATGGTAAACGCTTAATTTTTAATATTCGTTCGTTTAACGGTGAGCCCATGAAGGAGAATGTTTTTGTGGATAATGTGGAGTTAACATTTGAGTTGGATACGGGTTCTGCGGTGACCGCAATATCAGAAGATATTTATAATAAATATTTTTTAAGACACCCTCTGAGAGCGTGTAAAAAATACTTACAGAGTTACGATGGATCTATTATAAAAACATTAGGTACGATACCGCTCGTGTTCGCCAATAAAAATAAAACTAAGTTGATTGATGTTTAAATAGTAAAAGGTGGCGGCCCGCCTTTATTAGGCCGAGACTTTATGGTTAAGTTCAATTTACAATTGAGCCCGATTAAACAGTGTAGTTCTTTTTGACGAATCAGAGTTAATATTAAAGTATCCGCGATTATTTTCAGACACATTAGGATGTTGTCGAGGGGTGGAAGTAAAATTAGCATTAAAGCCGGATTCAAAGCCCGTTTATTTTAAGCCTAGACCTGTTCCGTTTGCACTTCGATCCAAATTAGAAACAGAATTAGATCGTTTGGTTGGTTTAAATATTATCGAGCCCGTAAGATTCTCCGAGTACGCAAGCCCTGTAGTGCCGGTTATAAAGCGTGATGGAACTATTCGTCTGTGCGCGGATTATTCAGTTTCAATTAACAAGCAATTGATCGTCGATAAATATCCTCTTCCGCGCATAGAAGATTTATTTGCAAAACTTTATGGGGGCGAACATTTAACAAAACTAGATTTGTCAAATGCCTATAACCAACTTAGGTTACATCGAGACTCACAGATGTTAACTTGCATAAATACACATAAAGGTCTTTATAAATTCAATCGCTTAGTTTTTGGACTTTCACCTGCTCCTGCTATTTTTCAAAGAACGCTAGAAAATATTTTGACAGGAATAGATGGCGTCCTGCAATTTTTAAACGATATTTTAATAACCGGCAGAACGAAAGAGGAACACTTGAATAGACTCCATGAAGTATTTAAAAGATTACAAGACGCCGGGTTAGTTTTAAGGCGAGAAAAATGTAGTTTTTTTCAAGATTCGGTATCGTACTTAGGGTTCGTTATTGACAGACACGGGTTGCACAAATCTCAGGATAAAGTGAGAGCCATAATAGATGCAAAGCGATCAGAAAATATCACGGAATTAAAATCCTTCTTAGGTCTGGTGAATTACTACCGAAGTTTTATAAAAAACGCTTCAAGTATTTTATCACCTTTACACCTACTATTACAAAAGAACGAAAAATGGCGCTGGGAAAAAGAGCAGGAATCGGCGTTTGTTTACATCAAGCGGGAGCTCGCGTCAGCTGGCGTCCGATAACACGTTAGCGCATTTCAACCCAGACGCGCGCATCGTGCTGACCGTGGACTCGTCGCCCTTCGGCATCGGGGCCATCCTCTCGCAGATAAATGGCGACGGAATCGAGGAGCCGATATCTTACGTGTCGCGATCCTTAAATGCGGCTGAAACGAAGTATAGTCAAATTGAAAAAGAGGCGACCGCAATTATTTTTGGAATCCGTAAATTCCACACTTACCTGTACTGCAGATCCGAGCCGTTTATTTTACGCACAGATCATAAGCCCTTAATTTCAATTTTTCGGCCGGGTAAGGGCGTGCCGACGGTGTCGGCTAATAGATTACAAAGGTATGCGTTGTTTCTTTCCGCTTACAATTACGTCATTGAATACGTATCGAGCGCGCGAAATTGTGCCGATTTCCTCAGTTCGTTAACGTCGGAAAACGATAAGGGAAGCGAACCGTTTTCAGCAGCGGCTGACGGGGGCCGGGCCGAGGCGCAGTCGGAGGAGCTGGCGTCGTACGTGAATTTCGTGTGGGGCGAAGATGCGGCACTCATCTCCCCACAAGACGTTCGGCGAGAAACGGAGGCGGACAACTTACTATCTCGGGTTATGCGGTTTACTCTGGAAGGATGGCCGCCTAATTATGCTAAAAATAAATGTACGGAATTAAAACCGTTTTATGAGTGCAGATTAGACATATCTATAGAAAACGGTTGTCTTTTAAGAGGTACTAAATTAATAGTTCCCGAGGCGCTACAAAAAAAGGTGATCGATGAATTACATAGGGGTCATCTAGGTGTAATAAAAATGAAGACCGAGGCCCGGCTAAGATTTTGGTGGGTGGGTATGTCGAGCGACATCGAGCGCGCGGCCGAGGCGTGCAGCGTGTGCTGCCAGCTACGGCCCGCGCCTCCCCGCGCCCCTCTAACTCCTTGGGCCTATCCGCCCGCGCCGTGGTACCGGGTTCATGTCGATTTTCTAGGTCCTTTTAATAACAAAACGTATTTGGTGGTAGTTGATGCGTATTCTAAATGGGTAGAGGTTTACGATGTCAGCAACGGCTATAGTTCAAAAGTAGTTATAGAAAAACTATGCGATTTGATGTCCCGATTTGGCATAATTCACACAATTTGTAGTGACAACGGGTCTTCTTTCGTGTCTGACGAGTTTAACAAATTCTGTTCGTCAAATGGTATAACACATGTAACGTCTCCAACGTACCACGCGCAAAGTTACGGACAAGCTGAAAGATACGTTAAAATAATAAAAAAAGCCATAAAGTCTATTTTACTCACGGGAACAAATTGCAAAAACATTAATGTTGAGTTAAATGAATTTCTTTTTTACTATAGAAATTCGGTACACTCGTCCACAAAACGTTCTCCTGCTAAAATTTTGTTCGGTAGAAATTTACGTTGCCGATTAGACTTGATTAGTCCGTTGCCATCATCAACACCTGAAGCAGCGCTCGTGGAGGCCGTCGAGCGAAGCCAACGAGCGCAGATTAAGCATTACCGTGGCAGACGAAACGTTTATTTTAATGTGGGTGATGTAGTTTTGGTAAAAAACAATTATGGCCACAAATCTATTTGGGAAAGAGGGGTCATACAGAAAAAAATAGGAAGAACTATACATAATAAAATCTGGAAATAGTGTTGTTAAACGTCACTCGAATCAAATATACGAATTTAAGGGGGAGCGTGGAGACATTGCCCTTAACGAATCAAAGGATGTTTTGGAGACACAGGTACCGCTATATGTACCTCCAATGATCCTTTCACAGAATAATCCAGTGGAACAACCCGGACTGTCTACATCTCAAATAACGACACATACGCCAGTTGAAACGACGACGGCCCCGCCGCCAGCGCCGGCAGACGACCCCACCACCTCTCCGGCACCATCTTCAGAGGCATCGAAAATAAATATTCGATACAGGTTACGGCCTCGTAAACCTATTGTATATCCGAAGTAAAGAATTTCGTGGTTTTCTTGTTATGTATAAATTCGTCACTATGTTTTCAATTTAAAGGTGGATTGATGTTAGTATATAAGTGGGTATTTTAATAATGACGTCACCCGGCGACGCCGGATTCGTCAAGTGTATGTTCTATATGTATCGATCGGTTGTTCGTTAATTTTAATACAGCACTCGACTAGTTAACTGCTTTTTTATTCTCTCTTGACCCGTGTTCCGAACTAACATTTATAACATTATTTCTGTAATTAGTCACTGAGATAAAATCAAAGTAAAGCTTTGAATAAATATTACACGTTTATCATTTTAAGTACATAATAGTACAAGCTACTCGTAAATAAATAATAATACATCTAAATTGAACATTTCTTATGCTATCTTATGTTTTATTTAATAAATATATACGAGTATTTACAAAATTAAATAGGCACGAATATATTATACATACTTATAAAAATATGCATAAGGATGAAATAAAAAAAAACGTTCTTCCAAACAATGATGACAATGATGCTAATGCCGTTTAAATCGTAGTCTGTGCGGAATCATATCGTTTGGAGCGGAATTTAGAAAATATTGTATACCAGAGGTCTCACAACTAGGGCCGCCTAAGTTTTTGCCGACAAAGTTTCACAATATTATTCAAACAATTCTATCTGAAAGCGGATTATTAAGTGGAAAACTTGTAATATAATCCAATATTATTTAATCGCAGTGTACTGCGAACAAGTTAGTATCAGAGAGCTATTACTCTGAATGCTCCGAGAAAAATTGGTTGAATGTAAAGATTATATTGTAGGTATTGTTTCAAAGTTTTCATACAAAAACTGAAATAATTTATATGTTATTTACATAACATAACACAAGGAGAGTCCCGTGCGGAAGTTAAAACTACGGCACTTTAATAGAAATAGCTCTTTAAAAAGCAAGACTTAATTCCGATGGAATTCATTGAGACAAACGCTTGGGAAATGGCGCGACATTTATAACTGGCCAGTTCAATTCGATTCGGTGGAATCCCCAAAACTTTGTCCATTTCAACTTCGGGCTCGAACCCGGGACGACATCACGAGCGCAGTTCCGCGGTCTTACCGCAGAAACTTTGCAGATTGTAATCTGTTTGTGGATCGGGAGAGAGAATAGAAAATCTTTAGTCAGCGGTTCTCTCTTAGTTCCGAAATTGTTTCGCCTTCGACTCGATTGGCCTAGAGGGTAGTGACTGCCTCTTGCGCCAGAGGGTGCGGGTTCGATCCCCACTACTGGAAAAATATTGTGCAATGATATGTTCATTGCACAATATTTTTCCAGTAGTGTTTTCCCAGTGTCTGGGTTAATATATTTATAACATGTATTTATTTACAAAATAAAAGTATGTTTATCAATTATCTAGTACGCATATTACAAGCGTTGCTTAGTTTGGGACTAGAAAACGTTGTGTTAACATGTGTCCTGAAATATTTATTTATTGTTGATTTTTCCGTTTTCTATGTTTCCTTTTTAACGTTGCAATATTTATAGTACACGTGGATAAATAAATTATATTAAATCGTTAATAAATTGATCGCAACACATGACAATTTAATCTAAATAATGCAATGGCCTTGCTAACACAGCTTATTCTAATATATTTTCGACGAATAAAAAGTGATTTAGTCAATATCAAATAGTATGGCATACGTACGCTGAAATGAAATCTAAAACGTTTATATTGCAGCTAGTGCCTAGATCTTTGGTTAAATTTAGTCATAATTAGTGAGTCAATTTATTTATTTCGAAGAAAACGAAAATCATATGATCAATATAGTGTAGTATTATGTGTAGTGATCAGTGTAGATAATAATTACGAAGATATCATCCTGTGGTAGGGCCACGCCAAAGCACGCTCGAAGTACCACCACCTCACAGAAGACCAGCGTGGAGTTTAAGTGTTATACTTCCGCGTTTCGTCTGCTTCGAGTGAGGTAGGCGAGGCACATTTTATTATAATGTGGCAGCGCATCTCGAACCCTACGGGTGTTGCAATTCCATGAGCGGTGGTTATCACTTAACACCGGATCAACCGCCAGTTCGCTTGCCACCTTTGTCACGTAAAAAGAAATATATTTTATAAATGTATATTTATTAACTTTTGCTACAAAAATTCTAAATCATTATAATGATTAAAAAATATTAGTAAGTAGTTAAAAGTCAGTAAAATGTAACAAGATTACTATTAATCAAAAAATTTCGCCCAACAAAACAAAAAGCACAAACACACATATGCGCACATACACACACACACACACACACACACACACACACACACACACACACACACACACACTTCGCACACGCACACATAACACACACCACAACTTCTAAACATTCACACTTATCAAACTTACCCGCATTCGTGCACCTCTTTGCCATTCATTTAATTCGTTACATTTATTTTGTTTTATTATTATTATTATTATTTTTTGGTTATTCTAACTAAATAAAAAAATAACATGTAATTTGAACAGGAAAGTGAGTACTCTTACCATTTGTTACGATTCTGTTTAATTGTTACGAATGCTTTTTCTCTTTTTTAAATATTAAGTGATTATTTGTAAGTTAATTTGTATTTTTAAACATTGCTACAACTGCCGCATAACATTGGAAATCGTCAAGAACTAACCCCCATAGGACAGGCATTGCCTAGTGTGGGGGTCAGAAATAAATTTAAATGTAATTTGGCTTTTTCTGAATAAAGTTTATTCTTATTCTTTATTCTTATTTAAAATATAAATTATTGATGTAGTCCTCTAAGTTTTATATACATAAATTTGATATATTTTATCTCGTATTATCTATAAAAATAGTTAATACTGCAAACTCTACGGGTTTTTACCCTGATACTTAGTTGAATCCAACAGTCTTCAACTTTCTATCTGTCTTGCTCACCAAGAGTCTGATTATTCCTTTACAATCTCCAATATATGTAACCGTTGCTCTCTTCTCTCTCTCTCTCTCTCTCTTTCAATCAATTTAAAAGAGACCAAACACAAACTTTGTCAGCCAAAGTCTCAATAAATGTCAACCGTTTCAACATCCACTGAAGGATGTAATGCGGAAAATTAGGTCGCAGTGTCTGAAGACACAAACAAGCCAATAAATAATCAAGTGCGACACGCTCGACCGCATCTTTCACCCAACGTAACAAAACCAGACGCTTATTTACGCTCGACATGAGAACATAAAAAATCGTTTATTGTTTTTACTTAGGACTGTAAGACAAACGAACTGAAGTTCAATTCATTTATCCACTCGAACTATCATAATAAGATAATCTGCTAGATCATCTGAGACGTAATCAATCCATACTAATATTATAAATGCGAAAGTAACTCTGTCCGTCTGTCTCGCTACAAAACCACTGAACTGATTTGAATGAAATTCGGCACACAGATAGTCTAGAGCCTGAGAAAGGACATAGGCTATTTTTAATTGTAAAAAAGTGTTGATATGGGCTTCAACGCGAGCGAAGCCGCGGGCGAAAAGCTAGTGATATTATATACGAGGTACATATCTCACAAGTGTATTGTACCGAAACTGAGGCACTCGAATCTCAATTTGGTGTTATTAGATTTCAATTCTATAGACTGCTATCTCTTTCCATATCATGCGTTCTATGATTAAATTGCATTTCTATACACTGCCATCTCTTTCTTTATCATGCGTTCTATATATCTGTCACATTTACTCGTAAATTACTGATTAATGAAAAACTTAAACTGTCTGTAAAAAATCCACATGCGCACGCGGCCGCCTTTGTGGGTTACTGTCAAGAAATGTCGACTCAGGGATACTTTCAGCCTCGCCTTACGTTGTTTATCTGACGCGGGCATGAAAAGTGGGCTGACTTAAACTTGTAAAGGCAATTTTACTCTACACTTGTCAATTTTGTGCTATTAAATTGTGTCACATCGATCGACTGATATGTAAATAGGTAAATAAATTACAATAGAATGGGTCAAGGTGTGTAAATAAAGACGCTTTTCGTAGGGTTGCAAATGCGTTGTCACTTTTAAATAAAGTGGGCCCCGGCTACCTTACTCACCAGACGAAACGCAGAAGTGTAACACTACACTCTACTTTACGCCGGTCTTCTGCGAGGTCGTGGTACTTACCCGGACGGACCTGCCCATTCGTGCTACAGTGTCGCGTGGCCCTACCACCCCAAAAAACTGTGTTAGGGCCACGCAACAGCTCTGGTTACTCGAATGGGCAGGTCCGTCCGGGTAAGAACCACGACCTCAAAGAAGACCGGCGTGGAGTGGAAGTGTTACAACTTCTGCGTTTCGTCTGGTGAGGTAGCCGGGGCCCACTTTATTAAAAGGTGGCAAATGTCCATGGGCGGCGGTAATCACTTAACATCAGGTGAATCGTCAGATCACTTGCCACTTTCTCATATAAAAAAATCTTTATTCAATTTTCAACATTATAGTGAGTGTATTTAGTTATACAAAAGAAATGTTGAAGACGATTATCACAGTGTATACAAGTGTAAATCTTATTTCCTTAAAATATATTCTATTTACGCGAAGTTTTCCATTTATTTTAAACTTAAATTACAGATTCTTTGAATTCGTTATAACATTCACGGTTAGGAGACGGATTTAATTTTAGTATTATACAGTAGTAATGATTCTTGCTAACAGTACGTAGGTACAAAATTTGAAAAATTACTCAATTTTAACGATATAAATCGTCACCCATAATCCCCGTACCAAGGAAACCCTTTCCTAAAAATATGGAAATGTGGACCATATTTTCCATTACAAAGGACTTAAGTGTAATTTTATTTGGGATGATATATTTATGAGGGATGGAATTTTTAATGCTGTACCGTAACGACTTATCCGTCCATCTCATTTGGAAAGGTCAATTCCCGCCTTAATGTTTAGAGCACTTTGA